AGTTTTCTAGTTTACAGATTTATATAGCCATAAGGACTTATTTTAGATTTGTACCACCTAATGCTAGTTTGCATTCTTTTGTATAACTCTAACATTGTGCAAATGCCTTATGACTTGCCAGTCATGCTAGTGCAACTGTGTTACAGGTATCTGATTCCAACTGATCAATGAAATGCTATTGGCATAATACTGCTTACTTCTTATAATACTATATAATATAAGTAGTTTTTCAAATTTTTTACTATTAATAAGCTTTGAACTTCTAACCTACCACTTGAGGAATTGACAACTTATCTACTTTACTAAGTTACTATACTTTTCTTAATTAATAAATTAAAAAATAGTAACTAAATTTTTTATTATAAAAATTATTTTAAATATATTAGATGTAATTTGTATTAAATTTAATAATAATATTAATAATAAATAATAAATAGCTCAAATATCAATTGCTAATTCTGAAGTGTAGTAACTTAGTGAAGTGGATAGGTTGTCAATCTCCAAGTGGCAGATTTAAGGTTCAATTCTTATAGATGCCAAATTTTAGAAATATATTCATATTATAGTAACTGTTTTTTGTTAATCATTTAGGTTTATATATCTGTAACCTTAAATACATCAGGTTAAGGCCTACTTAATTTTGAAAGCTCAGAGCATTTATGCAAAATGTAATATTATACATACATAATAGAATATAAAAAACTGATGTTATATAAGGCTTTGATACAAACCTATAATAAGACCACTAGGCATAAAAAACTAAAAAATTAAAAAGACAAGTCTATTTAGAAATTCTAAGTAAAAAGATAATACAAACTTTCAATAGTGCTGTTAATCTGATGAAAGCTTATAAAACATTTCTAAAGAAATAGTTAGATAAACCAGATGACAAATATATAAGAGAAGCATATGCACCAACCAGGATGCCAAAATTGATAAAGAAAAAGAATATATAAGTATACTATACTAGGCCATCTGAATTGATAATCTGAGAAGCCTTATTGGTTCTGAGTAGTAGTTATTAAAAGATAATAGAGAAGATGTTTAGAAAGATGGATACCAGGATTTGGGTAAACTTTACAAAGGTAATAGTAATTTAATAGATAATCCTGATTGCAAGTATTAGTCTTGACTATAACATTAAATCAGATTAGTAGAAAAAGAAAATACAACTTATTCTGATAGGTTTATCTTGAAGATAAAAATAGTTTAAAGATTATAGTTCTATAATTAAAAATTAAAAAATTTAGGTCTATGACTTGGTAAAATTAATATCAAAGTTAGATCAGAGAGTTTAAATGAAATATCTAAACAAAAGTATTAAGTATAACAACTGAAAGAAACCTTTAGGTAAATTCTTTAAATAAATAATATAGAAAAGTTATATATATAGCCAGTTGTATACTTGTCTAATAGTTCAAGATAAATATGTCTATATAAAATATATACCTGATATAAGTATTAATAAAAAGTCAGAACCAAAAAGATTATCTTAATATCAAAAAAAAATCAATTGCTAATTCTTATTTAATAATTATAATAAATAAAATTTTTTAAATTTAAATTAAATATTATATTAATTTAAATTTAATCAAATTAATTATATCTTAATTTAAATTTGTTTTGATTTAAAGATTTAATTTTAAAAAAATTTTAAAATTTTAACATATTGATTATTAAAATAAAATCTTATTTTATAAAACTTTTACTATGTTAATTAATTTTAAATTCTTAAATAAAAGTTTTTTTTCCAAATAAAATATCTCTAGTTTTATTAAATAACAATCAATTGTTTTAATAATATTTAAGTAAATAACTTATAATATTAAATATTTAATTATAATTTTTCAAATATTTGTTAAATTAAATCATATTGAATTTAATTTAATCTGAAAATTTTAGATTTAAATTAGACTTGAATTCAAATATTTGAATCAAATCAAATCAAATTTAAAATTTAAATTGTTAACAAAAATTATATATATAAATGTGCATTATTATAATTACTAGCTAATCATATTGGAATTAAGACAGTAACAATAATTTACTATAATCAAAGAATTTTTTTAAAAAAACAACTAGAATACTGCAAAATATTACAAAGTCTTATTTATTATTGCAAAATACAACAAAATTCACAAAAATATTACAGAATTAAGACATATATTAATTATAACAAAAAATTTTAGAAAAAATAGACAATTAATAAACATAAAACATTACAATAGACAAGACTTTTAAGTGATTTGTATATATATAGATCAAATAAGATAAAAACTTAGATCTGACTTATATATATTAATTTAGAGTTTTACTAGATACTCTAATATATATATTGTATTTAATTATAAATATAAAATTCTATTATTATTATTTATTATTATATTAAATCTATTTAACTAGACAATATTATGCTTTAATATTTCAATACTCTTGTTGTATATATATATATATATATATAATTTAATATTTTTGATATTAAGTTTTGACAATTCATAAGCTAATATACTAGTAATCATAAATAATACACCAAAAAAAAAATTTAGTTAAATCATATTATCTCATGCAATTTCAAATATATTTGTTAAATTTTTTTTTATTTTATTCACAAATACTATTTTTTAAATAACAAAATTTTAATAATTGTTATTATTACCAATGTAAAGATAATTATAAATTTATTACAAATTATGTGTTGCATTATTTTTGATCATTTTTGACAAAGATCAGATCACATGAGTTGTGTTACATAAATACATATAAAAATATAAGTTTTATTGTTAATTCTGCACTTTATATAATGTTAGAATTGCTTATAAATTAAAAAAAAAACTGTATAACCTCTACTAAATAAGTTCAAATATTGCTTTCTCTTTAAAAAGAGTATATTATAAGAGCAGTAGGTTAGACCCATTATGTTAAGTTTTCTATAGCTCACAAATTAAAAAAAAATGATTAACAAACCACATACTTGAAAATTTAAGAAGAGTTAATTATTCAATTTCATTAGATGAATCAACTCAAAAAAGAATAGTAAATTTAATTATTTTTTATCACTGTTTTATTGCTGTTAAAATAAAGAATTACCTTAAAATAAACTAAGATATTGAAATTTTGATGTTTATTATTTGTTAGATATTTCAAAATCATGGTTTAGTATTAGAAATAAAAAAAAAAAACTCTATTTGAATAATAATTATTAAAAAACAACTCATTTTTGCAAAAAAATATAAAAAATGAATCATTGAAAATTGGTTCAAGATAATTTGATCAGATGAATTAAGGTTTCAAAATTTTGAATTAAATGATAAACAGTACTATTGGAAGCATTATAGAGAACTGTTAAATCAGTTTCATATTAAGCTTATTATAAAATATGATGTGGATTAATTATAATTTGAAATTACTTTATCTCTCATAATGTCAACAACTATTGTAAGGTTGATGGTATAATGAATACAGATCTGTATCTAAAAATACTCCATGAAGATTTGATGTAAATAATTAAAGATCATAAATTTAAAATCAATAAAATTGTTTTTTAATAAGATGGAACATCTTATTATATAACAACCTTGACAAAACATTAGCTTACAAGGAAGAAGATAAAATTTTTTGACTGACCTTCTTAATCAATCAATCTAAACCTGATTGAACACTTGTGAGAAGAAGTTGATCATTGTCTTGGAAACTTCTCTGATCAAATTTCAAGTAAAAAGAATCTCTAAGAAAAAATTTAGATGGTTTGACAGGCAATCGACATTAAAACCTGCATGAGGCTAATTTGTTCAATGCCAGAACGAATCTGTGATGTAATTAGAGCCCGGGATGGCTACACCAGATGGTGATAGTTGAAAATTATTAGAAAAAAAAATTTTTTTTATTTTACAATCATGTTGTTGTTAAAACGAGCAAAAATAATGCAACACGTATATTGAAATAAAGCTCGTGCCCCCCAAAAATTTTGATCACTAAATTTTTAAATCTTTTTTATTAATAATAATATTGCTATTTGCGAATAAAATAAAATTTAACAAATACGCCCGGAATTGCGTGAGATAATACGATCTGACTAAATTTTTTTTTTTGTTGCATTATTTATGATCGCCAGTGTATGTAGAACATTCCGGCTATATATGGTTATAAGGAATACATTTAAAAAATCCAATGAACATTCTGACGTGATTAACGGTTAGAACGCGTGGTCATGATGTTTCTACGGAAATGAGTTGTTCGACTCCGATGTGATGTCTGTAAACCAATCGGCACAGTTTGAACGATCAGAATGTGACTGCCCTTTTGCAAAATTTTAGTATATAAAACAAGATTGCAAATCTAACCCTCATAATTTATGAATTTTTAAAAAAATTGCGCATATTCATTGGCAATATTTTTGAATTTTGTCGGTGTAGTTGGCTCTGATGATTTCTTATGAGTTTATATAAAATGGACATACACGATAACTTTAATCTATTCCAAATATCAAATATCAGACATTGAATTATTATGTCTTTATGTCTTATATAACGATAATTTTTCATATATGTAAATGTACAAATTTTGATTAAAGCGATCAATCATAAAGTGATGTTCGATTCATGTGATAAGTTATATTGGGATAGCTATCTTAGGGTATCTGAAGATTCTTCACGGCTGTCATGTGCAGGCATTTATTATGGAAGTTAAAAACACGAGCAAAATTATTATGAAGTGCGCGTTATTTTGGGACACGAATAGACAATGATTCGAAGCCTACTATCTTTAAGGGCACGAGAAATTTTTTAAATCAATTTTTTTGAAAATTGATTACTATTTTCAAAATTTATTAAAGTCAGATTTCGTTATTAAACAATTGAACCTAAGTTAGGTTCAATTTTTAGATTTTGAACCTAAATCAGGGCCGTTTGAATCTGAAGTCGGATATTCTTGAAATTTCGAAGGGTATGACTTGAAGGATTTCTAAGCTCCAGCTCGTTATACTAAATATTTTGCTCCAAACATTATCGCTTAATTTCACCACTCATCGGATCTGTCCAAGTTCTTGCGGGTCTGTAAACAGTAAATAAATATTTATAAGTTAGATATTTATAATTCATAAAGTATGAAACCATCTCTGTCACTTCGATATTTAGAAGATATACCTAATGATCTCTGCAACAGTGAAACTTTTCCTTTTGCTCAAAGGTCTACAAGCCTCGATTCTTACTACATCACCTAAAGTACAAACTTCTTTTTCATCATGCGCAAGGAATTTTTTGTGCCTCGTTATAACCTATTCGTTTTTAGATTATCTTTCAGTACCGAATAAATTACGAAAAGGTGACGTGTTGAATGCTGTTTAACAGGTAATGATCCAAAATAATCACGTAAAATCTCGTGCCATTCAATTACCTTACGAACTATAGGATGAACAAATTGTCTTGCAACTCGTACTTTAACAGTTTTTTGCATTGCAGTACCCACTACAATTCCAAAAAAATTTTGCCGGCTCATTTTTTTATCTTTTGTGATTTAGTAGGAAATCAAGTCGCGAATATGTTCTAAATCTAATGAAAAAAAAAATGCCGCAAGCTGATTGGCTGATCTACTTGTATATATATGTGTATACAAATTATGAAATTTACTTAGATAAAATCATGAAACTTACACCAGAGCTTATTGAACGTTCACTCAGTTATATTAATTCCGTAAAAGATCGTGAACTAGATTTACGGGGTATCCTTTAGAAGGGCTTTATGTAGTTGTTGACAGTTTGGAGTTTCGCATTTAAAGTGTTGTATAGATGAACATGGAAAAATCAGATTTTCTTGGTAAAACGCATCTCCAGGAAAACATCGAGCCATGTGTTATGCAAGAGTGATCTTTTTTGTATGATAGATTTACTTTAGAAGAAAGTGCCAAAATAAAAATGAAAGTATTTTCAGCAATGGCAAAGTTATAACTATTTTTGCAACGATCAACTCTCCACTTTTTTTTATATATATATTTTTTTTCGCACACATTATTATTCCCTGACTCGAATTTTTATTCTTTCCCACCTATTTTTTATTTTCCACTCTATACCATATAATAGGCAATAAAATTCCAGCCATAGAAAATCTTGGTGTCACTAAGGTGAGTAAATATCTTTGTTCAGATCAACCAAATTACTTTTTTTAATGAAATTCATTATATAGGATCTAAATGATACAATTGATCTAACGGATAACGACATTCGTGTTTTGGGAAATTTTCCGCTTTTGCGTCGCGTCAGAAGCTTGTTACTTGCCAATAATCGTATCACCCGTATTGATCCACAGATAGCAGAAGTCCTTCCGAATTTAACTACTTTAGTTCTTACGAATAACAACATAACTGAAATATCGGATCTAGAACCTCTGGCTGAATGCAAAAGGTTAAAATACATGAGTTTGTTGGATAACCCTGTAACACGGAAACAGTGGTATAGGAGTTGGATCATTTGGAAAATACCGAGTGTGAGAGTATTAGATTTCAAAAGAGTGCGAGATGTGGTATGCATTAAAGAACATATCCAGTTTTTGTATACATTGATTTAACCATGTATGTTTATTTCTAAAAGGAACGGAAAGAAGCCAAACAATTATTTGAAACAGCGAAAGGTGAACCTACTTCACTTGCCAGATCTATTTCAGAGACTGTATCCAAAACCTTCGAACCTGGTGAAGGAATGGCTGCAGCTGGTGGCGCGAATCTACCAAAATCCAACTTACCTACTCTTGGAATGTCAATAGAGGAACAGGCAAAAATTAGGGTTAGTATTGTTTATCCAACTGTCAAACATTTGAAATATAAAAAAATGTAAACGTCTAATAAATGTTTTATTCGAACTCAACTACTTAGGAAGCAATTCGAAATGCCAAAACCCTTGAGGAGGTTTCGCGTCTCGAAACATTATTGCAGTCCGGACATATTCCTGGTACAGGAAGACAACCGGGAGATTTTGGACAAGGTGAAAATGAAGAAATGGAGGAATAAGCTCACCATTTCTTTAGAGAGTGCACGGTTTTTTGCCTTATAGGACGAAAAAGAACAGCTTATATTATAAATGTTGTGTGGGACTACGGGGAACCGTGCCAATTATAACTTTAGACTACATGAAAAACGTGCTAATTAATAAATAATGTGTAATAATGGTTTTTATTATATATTTGCTGAAATGTTCCCACATTTGCGCGAAATTAACGCATCGGGGTACTATTTCACGACAATTTGGTATCGATAAATTTTTATCTACAAATTTTTTGGGGGTAATATCCGAGGGTGATTACAGGATGCTGTGTAATTTTCGTTTGTTTTTATCGCGTTCAGTGACACCTTATACATATTACAGGATTATTTCGGTATACAAATGAGATTATACTACAACTCGTTTATTACAACTCAAATATTTAAATATGCATAGTGATAAAACCGAATTAGTAGACTAAATCAGACGATTAAAAGACGATTCGATTAAGAAATCATCTGACTTCAAAGAACTAAATTAACCAATTTTTATAGTCGGCTTATCTAATTTTTATAGCCAAATAGATAAATTTGCTAGACTACAGAAACTAAGAACGTATAATTCAACGCCTAATGATATCAAACTTTTTTCATTGATATCCTCATACTATTCATTCCAATTCACATCTAATAACTCCTGGTGTAAAAAAAGATCCAAGTAACATTACTTTCCTAACACTATCACCGGCTGCCACAGAAATGCAACTAAACAGTGTACCATCATCTTCAAATATTTTCTTTTTTTCGTAATTGATCCCATAAAATCTATTTTCTCCAGTGTTGTTGCTAACTTTAAATACGCTGATTGCAGGTTTGGCATCTTTTCCACCATTTATATATAAAAACACATGTACGATATTGTTTGACACTATTTTGACATGAAGTTATGATATTTCAGTGTTTTAAAAGAAATTAATTCAAAAATCACGTTCACAATTCACTCAATACATGGAAATTTATAACATACCTGCAAGATAAATTTCACCTGTCACAGGATCCACATTAACGTTATCAATAGGATGTTCAACTTGAACAGCTTCCAACAGCTTTAATTTATTATCAGGCTTTCTTTCATATATTAAAAGTTCTCCCGTACCGAGCGCACCAACAAAAACACGTGAATAATCCCAATTTGTGGCAATTCCATTCGCATAATTTAAACTATCAGCAACTATTTCTGTAATATTAGTTTTTGAGGAGTGAAAGACGACATTACCCCATCTACGACGTGTGAGAACTAATTTGAAACATAAATTTGTGAGTACAATTTCATTAACCATTTAGAAATTAATATGATAAGTACGTTCAAATTGTTTCTTCCAATACGATCGGTAGTAAAGATCATTTGTCAAATAGAACTCATCTTTGGACACAGGAGCCACATTATTGGGATTATAAATCAAATCATGTTTAAAAGTTTTTAAATGATGCAATTCGAAAGAGTTTATTTTGTGCTTGAATAATTCGATCACACTTCCGGAGCGTCTGTGATTTATAAGAAAGAAATAAATGTAACCAGGTTCTGTAGGATCTTCATACATCCCAAAACCATGAAGCGAGAAGTCTTCTTCGTCGGCAAAGTTTTTGAGAGTAAGAGGAGTTAGTTTGTCTGTCTAATAATGCGAATAATATATTTAATTAGAAAATGGGAAACATGATTTTTAAAGTAAATACTCGCGAAAAATATAAATGATACCTCAATATTATAGACGTAAAAAGTATCCCTTGAGTGATAACTGTAATTTTGGAGCACACCAAGCGGTGGAAACCATTGGGTTAAACGACTCTGTTTGTCACCACAAGTTAAGTATGCGAGCCCAGTCATATGATGGATTTTGATATCTTCACATAATTCATCGAGACCTAAAACGAGTATTATTTACTAGTAGTGAGACAAAATTTAAATATGGTGGATAAGAAACTATACCATACCTTCAAGTTTTCGACATTTCTCACCAGTATACTTTTGAGCAGGTTCGCGATAATACCCACTTAATGGAACAAAATCTTTATATGTAATATATACAAAAGCAATAAATGCAACAAAAATCGTAAAAAAAATTGTAAGTAGGCCTGCCATGTCTTTATTGGAATGAGATAAAAAAGAAGTGAGATATTTAGTATACCGTTAGTTGGTTTTTATTGCATTAATCGAGTTTAATTTTTTACCAATTATATTCGATAATGGGATGATCCCATATTTCCAGAATTTATATAAATATCAAAGATTTCGTTAACGTGTATAGGTGACGGCTGCTGACATTGCACTGCAGCTGGCATTGCACTACAGCTGGTGGCTGCTACTTTGAACATCCTACGGGGTGTCTCAACTGGATAATTTTTTTGTGTGGGAGTTGGTTGTGGTTCGCCGCGATCGGCTCCTAATCTTTTTACAGTTTTAAGTGGCGTGGGAATCTAGAACGCGTTAACCTTAAGTAAGCACACGTACGTTTTACGTAAATAGTTGTATGTGTGAATTTTCACATGCTATAAAATTTTTCTACGTAAAAGTAATCAATTGTTTTAAAAATCTGTACGCATCATAAAACTGGTTTAGATTATATTATTATTACAAATTTTCTACGTACACGGGAAACAAGATAGTGTCATCTAGTGAAAACCGGAATATCTAAACATAGGATAATATTAGATGTTTAGACTTATATACTTGGAAATACTCGATTGGATTGGATTACAATTTATCCGATATACAATTATTTCTGGCGTGTGAAACTCAAGATTTTACTTTTATTTGCGTAGCAAGAAGGGTCGGTATTGTGGCGCACATAAGGTATAATAGCACAGGATGGTAATTTTGGTGCATCGTAAATAACTCATGAAAGTAAGATTTTCTACTAAGCAAGTCGAACTTCTTCCACTAAATAGTTATTGAAAATACAATTTTTTATATATTATTCAAATTTTGATGTGATTTAGTTGATTTTATTAATCGATTGTCATATACAGTAATGAAAGATTAACCAAATTACATCAAAATTTGAAGATATCTATAAAATGGTATTTCCAATAACTTTACCTAGTGGTGAAATTTAGCTTGTTTTGTATAAAACATTTATTGCTATAGAAAAATGATGTATGTGTGTACATATATAAATATGTAAAAACAATGTATAAAATTACTCTAAATTTAAAATTTTTTTTTTTAATAATTCTAAACAAATAAACCAATTTGCATTTTATTATAAATGTTTAAAAGTATATAAATAAAGATATAAGTTTTATAAATTTTATAAATATAAATATGGTTTAATTATTTTTTTTTTGAAAATTACAAAATTATAATCAAAAATAATAATAATAAATTAAATAAATAAAATTAACTAAAAAGATTACAGGAAAGTTACAAAAATAATAAAGATAATAAAACAATAATAAAAACAACACAACAACAAAACAAGATAGTATAAAAAAAAAATAATACTTATTACTGTTATAGAATGAATAATTATTATTTTATTATAATTATTATTATTTTATTATTCAAATCTTTTTATTAATTCTTTTTTTTATTTAATTCTTTCTTATAAATCTTTTGATCAAAATTTTTAAAAAGCAAAACTTAGAAAACTTGATAACTAGACTAGAAAACAAGACTTAAGACACTAACAAAAAATATAAAATAGCAAAAGTTGCATATAATTTAATAGTAAAGATATAGAAAAAAAACTATAAAAACAACAAAAAACCATATAAAGAATTTTTAATGAAAAGTAAAAAATTTAGAAAAATTTTAGAGAATTGTTATAATCTTATTTCATAGATTTTTCAAGTTACATAAGAAGACACAATAGAACAAGCAAAATAAACAAACAAATACATACATCAAACTAGTTTAATTTAGATAAAACATATAATTTAGAAGCATTTAAAAAACAATTGTATAATATGAACAAAAGTTTGTTAAAAGAATATAAAGAAAGTTTTAATGCAATCTTATAAGAAGAACATATAAGATAATGAATAGTGTGCATAATAAACTTATTTAATGAAGCAAACAAGACATATGCATTATCTAGCAGAGAAGATAATATTATTGCAACATTTATAAAACAAGATTCAAATGAAATAGTTCTTCTGCAAATAATAAAAAAAATATTAAAAAAAGTAAAAAAAAAACAATTTGAGAAAAACCTTGATTTTATAAAACAGTACCAAGATAAAATAAGTATAAAAAAAAAAAAAAACAATAACAGACAAATGAAATAAAGAAAAGACAAAAAGAACCAAAAGAAGAGATATAAAAAAGAAAAATAAAGAATAAAGAGTTTAATAAAAGTTTACAAATATGTATTAAAACTGTAAAAAAAGAAGTAAGTATAAAGGTAAGATAAATGTATAATAGCCAAGTAGAAGTTGAATCATCTACTTATGAAAGAAAAAAAAAAGAACAAAAAAGAAAACAAGAATAAGAAGATATGAAAATAAACAGAAAAAAATCAAAACAAAAATCAACAATAGAAAAAAAAATAAAAAAAAAAAAGAAAACAAGAAATTAAAAAAGAAATTAATATAGTAAAAATATTATTTGAAAACAATATATGAGTACTAAGCAAAAGAGGTTGCAATTGAAACAATAGCCTACTTGCAAATATATTAGCACAAAATGTATCTGAAAAGACCAAAGAAGAATATACAAACTTTATCAAATAATTACTAAAAAATAATAAGCATGTCAAAAACATTGAAGAAGTATTTAAAAAAAAAATCTATAAATAAAAGTAGACTTCGACTATGAATATAGCAGAAGCAATACAATACAAAGAATTAGCAAAAAAAAAAAGTGATTGGTATAGAATGATTACAGAAGAAGAAAAAATAGATAAGAAAAAAAAAGAAAAAATATATAACAAAGAATATCAAAAGAAAAGAAACATTATACCAAAAGCTAAGAAGAAAAAATATGAATAGCAAGGAAGCAAAAAAGAGTTAAAAGAAGACCAAATAGATACTGAGAAAGAGGAAATACAGAACCTAAAATATATAACAATTTGAAACCTACCAGCAGATATAAACAGAAAAAAGCTCAAATATATTTGCAAAAGATTTAAAAAAATATATATAATAAGAATCAAAGATCTAAATACAAATCTCTTACAATAGTTTAAGTAAAAGAATCAAAAGAAGAAAACATTTCATAGTTTATATTAGTTAATAGCAACAAACTAATAAAAATAACAAAAGGCAAAGAAAATTATAAAATAAGATAAAAGCAAAATCAGTATATAGCAAAAATAACAGAGCTGCTAAGCAATACTTCAGAAGTTTTGTTATTATATTGTCTAAGAAACAAAGATGTGAAATTAGTTTTTATTCACTAAACAGAAATAAAAATCAAAAAAGAACAGCAATAATTACATTTGTAACAAAAAAAGAAATAAAAGCAGCTTAATTAAAACCAATTAGATACAACAATTTCCAAATATTCTGATTAAACAAAAGAAAAAAAGAAGTAAAGAAAGAAAAAAATGTTAAAAAAAGAAAAAAAGAAGCTGAAAAAAACTAGCTAAAGACTGAATAGAAGATATATAGAAATAAAAAGTGATACTCAAATATAAGATACAGAAAAGTGATTAGAAGAGAAAAATATTATTGACAAAAAAAACTAAAACAAAAATAATCAAATTTCAAATAAAAGATATATTAAAATAGAAAATAATTCTTAGTTACAGAATATAGAAGAATAGTTAGAAGATAAAAATACTAATACAGAAAGAAATGATAAAAATATAATTAAAAAAAAGACAAGATTAAATATACAAGTATATGTAAAAACAAGACAAATAGAAGAAGTTTTAGATCAAATCTTGAAAAGACTAAACTAATTAGAAAATACTTAGCTAGGTATAAAAGAAGACCTGACTAATTACTCTTAAAAATGTTTTGTTAAATCTATAAATACAAAAGAGAAAATCAGTATTTTCTACAAAAAGAAAAAAGAAATTTTGAAGAAAAAAAAAAGAAACATTTCCTGGTCTAAAAAGAGAAAAGAACAGAATAAAAGAAAAAAAAAGTAAAAATACAAAATAATGCAAGAGCATCTAAAAGAAAAATGAAAAGAAAAAAAAAAAAATCAAAATTATATGCCACAATATTAATAGACTTAAAACCAAAGTTGGAAATTAAAAAATTTGCTTAACTTGATAGAAGAAGAAGAAATAGTAATACTGAGAATCACAAAAATGAATCTTACAAAAAGAGAAGAAAAATTTTTAACATATGCTGAAAGGAAAAAATATATAAAATACTGGGTAAATGCAGCAGAAGATAAGAAAAAAGGATCAGATGTTAGAATTCTGGTAGATAAACAATGAAAAAAACATGTTAGTACAGTCAAGAAGATAAGCAAGTATATAATAGAAATTACACTATATTTTAAGTAACTGGAACTTATAGTTATTACTGTTTATGTATTACCAAATAACAAGATAGTAGGAAAAAGCATTTAGCAAAAAATCATAAAAACAGTCTTAAAAAGAAAAAAACAAATACAAATAGTTATAATAGGTGGCTTTAACTACACAGCAGACAATATATTAAATAGATAACATCTACAAGCAGCAAACTACAAAAGATTGCTAATCTTTAATTGGATAAATAAATAAAATTTTAATAATACATACAAAGATATACATCTAACAAAATAATAATATACATGGTCGAATAAAGAAGCAGCAATAAGAATTGACTATATATAGGTGTCAAATAGACTAGCAACAGAGTTGCAAAAAGCAAAAATTAAAGAAGCAAAAGAAATTACAAAAAGTGATCATAATATAGTAATAACAGAAATATAAATTAAATATGTAATAGTAGAAAAAGCAAAGCAAAGATTAAAAGAAAAAAGCAGTCAAGAACAATATTTTTGTATAATTAAACAAAAACAGAAGATTAAAAAAACTATGTACAAGAGTTACAGAACTAATTAAAAACTAAAGAAACTCTAAAAGTGATTTAGAAAGAAGAATAAGATGAAGATAGAAAAATAAACAAAATAAATAACATTTAAGATGTAATAGAAGAAGCAATTATTACAGCAGCAAGCAAACACATACTTAAGAAAAAAGTATACAACACAATAACAAATAGAAGAAGAAGTCTGAAAAAACAGCAACTAGAGAGAAATGTTGTTAAAATATAAAGACTAATTAAATATACAAATATAAAGAAGAACTAAAAAGTAACAAAAGAAAAAAAAAGTAGAATAAATAAACAATTAAAAGAGCTAGTCAAAAAAATAGATACAAAACTACTAAGACTACAAAGCCAGTAGTCAGATGCATAAATAAAAAATATAAAAGCTTGAAAAAAGTTGTTACAAGAAAGAAGAAAGAAAGAATAAAAACAGGCACAAAGAAGACAAATAGAAGAAAATATAGATAAGAGATACAAAATAATTAAAACAGACTAAGAAAAAACAATAATGAGTTTCTTGAATAGATCTTATAAAAAGATAGTACATAACAGAATTATTAAGCAGATTGAAGAAGAAACAAGTTTGTTAACAAGACTAGAAAAGATTAGAAAAGAAGTAGTAGAACATTACAAGAAGCAATTTAAAAAAAGAAATACTAAACTGAAAAAAATGACAAAAGAATGAAAAGAAATATACAAATTATGAAAGAATATTAAAGAAGAATAGTATACAGAAGTTAAACTAGAAATTAAAGAAAAAGAATAAGAAAAAAAGATATAAGACACAAATTATTAACTCTTTCTGACAATCACTTGTACCAAAATTCTCTGATAATAAACTGGTAATAACTAAATAATTTATTAAGTAAACCTTTTCTGGCCTTCTAAGTAAAATTGTTTACAACTAAATTTTACATATAAGCGGCCTAGTTTTATATCGGGATTACAGAATAGCAGTATAGTATAGGTAACCTGATCGGTATGGTATATGGGGGTGTATGATAAGCTGTACCATACTCATTAATCAATATATATAATAGCTAATCAGTATAGTACAGTTTATAGGTTTAAAAAACTATACAATACTAGTCAGATATTATAATATAATTTATTATTATATCGAATTAGTATAGTATAGTTTTTTTATTAGAAAACTATACTGAACTAATCGGGATTACAGAAGATCAGTATGGTATAACTAACCAGATCAGTATGGTATAGATGTGATTTTGTCAAACCGTACTATACTGATTTGCTTAATTGTCACACCTCATAAAAACTTGGCCAGCATTAAGCATAATTTTGGGCAGCACTAACCCTAAATTCTAAGAGATGTGACAAATAATCAAAATAGTATATAATATCACATCTATATCATACTGATCTGGTCACCTATACCATACAGATATTCATTTTACTTGAACTAATCTGATCGTAGACATGTTTCAAACTTACTGATCAATACATACATGACGATTCGCTTATAAGTTTTATAAAGCATACACAATTTGCCTCTATAAATATATATTTCTTTAGTTGCATTGTTTTCTAAGCATCACATAGTCCTAAGAACGTTGACTTAGAGAGCTTACGAATAAAAGGTTTACCTTATTGTTTTATATGTTCAATCATTATACTCTATAATCAGTTTTATTCCATTAATTTTAGCATTAATTTTTTAGATAAGCAGTCTCTTTAATTACATCTATATTCATAATATATACTTCAATAATTAAAATTATTTTTGACGATTAAGCTGTGACTTTTGAACTTAACAATTATCACTGAGGCCCTATGATAATAGAAAATTACTGTAAAAGTGTATATACAAGACCCAGATCTGTTTTATTTTACCAATTTTTAGATTCTTTAGTAGAGCCTGGATTTAGTACATGCTGAGAGGTTATGTCAAAAAAGAAACTGTATTTAATTAATAAAGATTCCATGGTTCGAATCCAGGTCTAATTCATGGTAAGTCTATTATTTTGGAGGATCTTGTATACACATATTTACGGTAGTTCAAATAATCTATTTCAGGTTTTTTTTTTGACAAGTTAATATTTATATGCTTTCTTTCTCCGAGCTACACTTAAAAATATAATTAGGTATGTTATTTCTTTTTTCTCTTTTTATCTTCCAGTTGCTACAAACTGACCTTCCCAAATGCAACTCATTGAGACACTGTTAATCAATCCATTCTGGTTCCTTAAAAAATCGGATAATCGACAGTCTGGAATCACATAGGCTCCAATAGTGTCCAAACTTTTAATAATATGCATTTAAAAAGCAATAAAAAAATTCCATTCATAGAATTAAAAATATATTTGGGCTATAATTTGGGATTGCATTAGAGAGTTGTATTTTTAGTAATTTGACATTTTTAGCTTTTAATAATAATGCTTCACAATTAGTGATTAGTATTAATCGCAATTGATATGAGAATCAGCAGAATTATGTAAATATTATTAGGTCAGAGATGAAAAAATAGCAATTGGACACAAATCTACTAAGGAAGTAATTCCGCTACACAGCATGGTCTTAATTCTGCTACGAAAATAACTAAGATACAAAATCTGTTGAAGAGGATGATTCTTTGTGGTAAAATATTACACTTGATCCTCGTTGATATTAACCTAAACAATAAAATAAATTTTATATGTTAAAAGTTATGTCAAAATTCTCTCATTAATATCACTATCAACATGAATATAAAAGTGATCTAACTAAGTTGATATTAGCAAGGGTCAAGTGTATTAGGCTCTCACTATATCATCCTATCAGGTTACATTATTTTTTGCCTCGTACCTAATTAATTAATTGCTCATTTAGAAATAATAATACAGTAATAATCATTTTTTAAAAAACATTCTTTTATTTATTTTAGATTTTGAAATTCAAATAAAATTTTATTATAATTTTTAACTCAATAATTTTGTAAATTCCTAAAATTGTTTAGATAACTATTATTATTTATTTCCAATAAGCTGAGAATAAATTCAACTAATAAATGTACAGTACCTTATTTTAAATTTTGCTAAAGATTCTGAAAGGAGAATAGGCAAAATATCCCAAGATTGTAGTCTCTATTGTGAACAATCTGCTTCGTAGATTGTCGATAATTGCACATGAGCAAAAAATATTGCACCCTATCGATGTGCTTAGGGCCAAGCTCTAAAAAAATAACACAGGTTACCCTCGTTAATATCAACCTATTTGAATTGGTTTTAAATCATGTTGATAGTGATATTAACGAGAAATCATATTAAAGTTGATATATATAAGGGAATTTTGATATATTGTATAAAAATTTATAAAAATTTGGTTTATGGCTTAGGTTAATATTAACGAGGTTGATATTGACGGGGATAACCTGTAATAAATAAAATAAAAATTTAGCATTAGCATGCTTAACTAACAGTTATCTTCTGAGTAATTTCAACTGATCATAAGTAATAATGTAATTAATGATATAGGAGTATATTGAAGGCAAATTTTTTTTAAAAAAATCTTATTTTTAAAAAGAATATGTAGGAACATCATTAGTTAAATATTCATCTGGGATGAGTTAAGCATTATACCAAAATGATACAGCATTGATCAACTTAACAGAAATATTATTGATAAATCCTCTAAAAACAACAATAAAGATAAAAAAAAAGAAAAAAAAACAAAGGTTATCACCAGAATTACGTCGGTGCAAGTAAATTTTTAGCATCTTACCTAGATCAATGTCTATGTTGTAAGTGAGAACGGAATTTCTTAGGATTTTTAGGATTAAAAAAAATGAAAATTGATTCATATGATAAAACGAATGGTTGAGAATCAGATTCTTAGTCAAAATTAAAAGAGAATCGATCTGATAATCATTGTTGTTTTTCTATAAAAAGTAGCAATGATGATTTAGGATATAAACACTACTATGAAATTGGATTAAAAACTTTTAATTTACTAACCTAACATCTAAGATTCCTTTGCTCTTATATGAATCATTTTTTCTACTTATTTTATATTTTGTCAAATTCTTATAGCATCACCTGTATATTCATTCACCCAGATGACCGCTATTCTCCTTTAAGAACTTATATCAATAAAGTAGGTCTTAAACATTTTCTTAATATCAATAATTAGTGGTAGAACTAACTTGAAAGTTATATGTAACTATGGATTCTATAGCTTTGAATCCCTACAAAAAAAAAACACACAATAACAGTTACATTACTTATGCACTCGAATATTGTCTTTTTTATCAAAAAAAAAAGCAATACTACACAATTAATATTATAAATACCAAAGCTTCTTTCCATTAAATCATTACTTTCTTGTAATATTCACAAAATCGGTAACAGAGTCTAACAAAGTCCAACAAGGTTCACTTCTAGTGTTGCTAAATAGAGTATCAATGTTTAATAGTTTAATAATTTAACTTGTTATTAATAGAAACTTTAAATGGTTATAACTTTTTACTAAATCCAAAAACCCCATATGCAAAATTAATTGGTTTTTATAACCTGGCCAGGTCAAATTTCGAAAACTTGTAATGTTTTAATAACCAGGTGGGTTTTTAAAACTTACAGTAAAAAAAAAGAAAAAAAAAAAGCTGGCCGGATCTGTTCAAAAGTTTCATGTTATGAAAACCAAGATATTAAATTTGTGTGATCAAACTACATTCTTGTCAGAAGATATATATTTAAAGTGATTTGTTAATTTTTATAGCAATTAAATTTTTATGTTGTGTAACTTCAGCATGTTTATTATAAAATTTATATTACTGGTAATATTTAAGAGTAAAATAAAACAATAAAAAGATAACTAAGAACATATTTCATTTATTATTTTCATTTAAGCCACACAATTTATGAATTTAATGATCAATTTCTCTTAGCTTATTTAGGAGAGAAAAAAAAATAAGCAAGCAATTGCTTACAATCCTAAAAATGCAATAAGTATGCTAAAATACGTATTTATGATATGTAAGCTTGTTTAAAATCGACTAAATTATTCGTTAATACGTATCTAATTCTTTTTCCTTTTCAATATTAGCTAATTATTGAGCATGAAGTTCAGCTAATTTTGTTTGTTTATCAATATCTAAAATTTCTTTTTTATATTGAAATTCATAATCTATTAACTCAAGCCTTCTTAATTTTTCTCGTTTGGCAATTTCAATATCAAGTTCATCTAATTCTTTGTTGCTTGTTATAGTAGTTTTAGAAGTTGGTGATAGTTTTTTATTTAATAATGCTGACTCAGGTTTTTTACGCTTTTGACCTTTTGAGCTATGAAGTTGTTTGCTCTCTTATCATTATTGAAAATATGTATATACAGTATACATATCAATTAGCCAATGTAGTATAACGATAATGACAATAAATTATTATAATACCTAATCGTTTAATAGATTGAGTTGCTTTAGTTACCGGACCTGATGAATGATCAGTTTTGGGGACATTATATTTGTCTTAACATTCACATGTTGCCAATCGACATTCATCTAATCGTTTCCCTCTATGTATGTAGCGTATATATTAAATTATATAAATTTTTTAAATAATTATAGCAAAAAAAAACAAAAAAAAAATTGATAAAAATTATTAGAAACAAACTTTTTAACTGCAAGTAATAAACTCATTTGAATTTCTTCTCTATTAGCATTTGCATGAGCAGATTCAGCAATATTAGTAGTTTCTCCTGCAATACACCAATCTTCTTTAGAAATATGCAAATAATGATGATTTAAAGATGCTAGTCACTATAGTGTTGAATAATAGTTTCCCTAATCTATAATTTTTTAAAAATATTTAAGATTAGTTAAAAATTATATAGAATAAAATTAAATAGTATAAACTAAAGCTAAAAATAAAAGTAGAGTTTTTTGGGATGTTGAACATTTTTACTTAATACATCCGACCTTAGTTATTTAGGGTTCTACTACAAAGTCCTGATATTCAAAATCTCAAAACTATAATCCAGATATGACAATTAGTATTTAAAGATTAGTAATCATATTAACAATCATTGTCAGACTTTAAATTTTAATTGTCACATTACACGATGTCAGTATTATAACCTGTTGAGATTTTGGATGTCGGGATTTTGTAATAGAACTATTATTTAGACAGTTTTGTAATATAGCAACTGTGATGTTAAACATTACTAATATAATTTAATAATGTCGTAAATTTAATTAATAATAACAATTATACCTGATGCTCCAGCTTCATCTGATATGGAAAATTCATGAAGTATAGCATCAACATGTTCTTTATCAGCTATTAATACCTCATACATTAAACTTTTTAAATGATTTAATAGTTTTGAATTGGCAATATTTCTATATAAAATAAAATAAAAATAATTAAAATAATAAGTTAGAATATATAAAATTGATTTGTTAGTTTTAATTCGTAGTTAAACTAATTTAAAAATAGTCAAAGTTGAATACACTAGTAAAAAATCAAAAAATTCAAAATGTTAAGTAGCATTATTCAGCATATTATATTTTTTTGATTTTACTAGTAACAGCCAGTATTGGATATTATATTATAATATTATATTAGCCCTCATTTATATTTTGTAATTCACCAATTAGAACCTAGCAATTTTTATATTATTTAATATCGTGACTGAAGCTTGAAACAGCTTAAGCTTAAAATTAAGGACTTCGATTTAAAAATATAAATCCTACCAAAATTTACTTATATATTTTTAAAAATTTCATATTAAAGTATTTAAAATTTCAAACTTCAGCTGCAACACTTAATATACCTTAAAAATTATCTCTGAGATAAATACTTTTCTTTTATAATGTACACAGTATGACTTAAAAATATAAGTCAAGTGAGTTTCCCAGGTTTTTGTCTAATCCAAATCTTCAAGTGCTAATCCAAGACCTTTAGCCTATGCAACATCCAAATCACCAAGAATAACATTCCAACCATTGTTATAAATATGTTTAATCTGAACTTTCTGTTTACAAAGTTCATTTACAGTTTCAATTATAGCTTTGAACATATGATGATAAGCATTTGCGGTTGCAATATTTGTATAAATTCGTGCATATGTAAGTGCTAAAAAAAATTAAAATTAATAAAAATTATAATAGTAATATATAAATAATTAAATATATATAAATTACTTAACTAATATTATGATTGATATCAAATTCATTAAGTTCAAACTTATTAATCTTTCCATGAACACGTTTAAATGTTAAATCAACTTGAAAATATTGTATATATAAAAGGTTTATTGCCATGTCTTTATTCATACATAGTACAAGAATATGCTCATCTTCAAAAAATGCTATAATATATTTAATATGTATATAGAATATTAGTATACAGTCAACTCTTTTAGGATAATGAACTGTTCGGAGTATAGATGCTTGACAAAATTATTTTTGAATAGCTTCATTATTTTGCGATTATGCCAAAAATTCTATATAAATGCCAAGAAATTTTCTATAAACTTAGATAGCATACTTCTTAGAATAATATTTTAATTCAAAATTAATTTTGTCACTAATAATTATAGATCAAAATAATTTTGTCATCAGGTTTAATTTCATATACTAATAAAATCAATTTTGTCAAGCATTACTAGTTCAGAGTAAGGAGAGTTGACTGTATGTATTATATAGAGTATATAGAGTATACTGTATATTAATATAGTATACTTAGATATATACGTACCAACTTTTTGGACATATTCTCGAATATTATCTAAATTAGAAGAAAAGGCATGAACTAAGTCTAATATGTCTTGTCCATGTGGATGAATTGAATTATGGACCTGAGCAACAAGATATCGAAGATGATCCAAATTGTTTAAAGAAACATGAATTTCTGACAATAGATCATTTCCAAAATAGCTTTTAATTAAGTTTCCTTAAAAAATAATTATATTATACATGCACATAAATTTTAGTACATATATATGAAATAATAATATGCATAGAATTTACAGAATATTTTTATTGCCATATTTTAAGATTAGAGTTTGTACTTATCGGATATTATTAAATTATCTGATTTATCTAAATAAGGCTATACAAATTTAGTATATTGATTTTTATAAAACTTGATACGGCCAGCTTTTTTTATTTTATAAAATGTTAGTAAAATTTTTTTTAAAAAAATCCATCTGGTTATTAAAACTATAAAAGATTTTTTTAAAGTTTTCAAAATTTGACTTGGCCAGTTTATAAAAATCAATTAATTAATTTTGCATAGCCTAAAATTATATATTTTTGTGTAACAATTTTTACAATCTTCAATTAAAATAATACCTGATATTAATTTTCGTGGCGTAACATGTTCTAAATTATTTGAAAATTCTTTAATTAAAGTTTTAAGACGAGCTTGAATAGCTTCCGGCACATGATATGGTAGAGGTAGTGGATGAGTATGTTCTCCTATACAAACTAATACCACAAAAGGACATTCTAACAAATTAAGAGCCATAAATCGATAAAATTTAACTTCACATGGCATGTTTTCTAATTGAGCTTCAAATGGTCAGTTATTGTCATCAAGATGAGAAAATGCTTATATAAATTTAAATTTAATATATTAAAATAACTATATATTAAAAATATTTTTTTTTTTATTTAAATATACTAATATACTTACGGCAAATTTTTTTTTGTGTTGTATTAGGTAAGATGGTACAACATCGATCTTCAATTAATAATCGATCAATTGATTCACCATCCAGAAGGCGTCGAATAAGGTTAATATCATATGACTTAGATATTGGAGTAAACCGATGCCAATTATCTCCATAAGACCAAAAACTACAACCAATAAAGTAACCATCTTTACACTGTAATATTTTTGATACACGATTATTGTGTTGATTTTGATTAGTTCTACATTGTACTAAAGTACTTTGTTTAATTTTTCTTAAAACAGATAAACCAGTGCATGATAAACCATCAAATAAAGTTTTTGGGCATGACTTTTTCATTATAGCAAGATAAAATCTTAAACAAAAAATTATTAGAATATATGTAATTAAAATATTTTATAATATAAGTTATTTATATTTTGAAATAAATAAAAATAGAAAATAAAATTTTCTTTTAGAATACACTTGTACACTTGAACAATCGATTGCCTTAGCACATTAGGAAGTTTCATAATTAACATATTTTGAAAATAAGTAGAAGGTTAAAAGATTCTACTGTACATCTATTTTTAAAATTCTGACTCAGTAAATTAAATAGACGAATACGTTAATAAAATTAGCTTTGTTTTGACAAATATCTAAATTTTTTTTTTTTTTTTTTTTTTAACCTTAAGCAGTTACGCTAGTACTTTATTAAGATTCTTGAAACTAAATACATAT